CCACCTGCAATGCAAGAGACCCCAGTTCGATTCCTAGGTCAGGAAGATCCCCTGGAGAGGGGACAGGCCACCCACTCCAGTATTCTTGGGCTTCCCTTGCGCTGTAGTCAGCACAGCAGGTAGGGATCAAAAGTGGTTGACGCACAGTTTGGGAAAAAAAAAAAAAAAACAACTAGAGACAGAATTAAAGTTTAAAGATAGGACCAGGGGACTCAAGACCTCTTGGATCAAGAACCCTTTTCCTCGGAGCCACATTACTTTTATTTCTGTCTTGGCAAGCAGAGTATCTGTTGTGCTACGATGAAGTCAGCCTCCTGTGTCCCTGGTCACGTCTCCCATTTTATTGATTCAGTTCAGTTCAGTTCAGTCGCTCAGTCATGTCCAACTCTTTGCGACCCCTTGAATCGCAGCACACCAGGCCTCCCTGTCCGTCACCAACTCCTGCAGTTTACTCGAGCTCATGTCCATTGAGTCGGTGATGCCATCCAACCATCTCATCCTCTGTTGTCCCCTTCTCCTCCTGCCCGCAATCCTCCCAGTATCAGGGTCTTTCCCAATGAGTCAGTTTTTCACATCAGGTGGCCAAAGTATTGGAGTTTCAGCTTCAATACCAGTCCTTCCAATGAACGCCCAGTACTGATTCCCTTTAGGATTGACTGGTTTGATCTCCTTGCAGTCCAAGGGACTCTCAAGAGTCTTCTCCAACACCACAGTTCAAAAGCACCAATACTTTGGCACTCAGCTTTCTTTAGTCCAACTCTCACATCCATACATGACCACTGGAAAAACCATAGCTTTGTATAGATGGACCTTTGTTGGCAAAGTAATGTCTCTGCTTTTTAATATGCTGTCTAGGCTGATCATAACTTTTCTTCCAAGGAGCAAGAGTCTTTTAATTTCATGGATGCCGTCACCATCTGCAGTCATTTTGGAGCCCCCCAAAATAAAGTCAGCCATTGTTTCCACTGTTTCCCCATCTATTTGCCATGAAGTGATGGGACCAGATGCCATGATCTTAGTTTTCTGAATGTTGAGTTTTAAGCCAACATCTTCACCTTTCTCTTTCACTTTCATCAAGAGGCTCTTTGGTTCTTCTTTGCTTTCTGCCATAAGGGTGGTGTCATTTGCATATCTGAGGTTATTGATATTTCTCCCAGCAATCTTGATTCCAGTTTATGCTTCATCCAGCCCAGCATTTCTCATGATGTACTCTGCATATTAGTTAAATAAGCAGGGTGACAATATACAGCCTTGACCTACTCCTTTCCCAATTTGGAACCAGTCTGTTGTTCCATGTCCAGTTCTAACTGTTGCTCCTTGACCTGCATACAGATTTCTTAGGAGGCAGGTCAGGTGGTCAGGAATTCCTATCTCTTGAAGAATTTTCCACAGTTTGCTGTGATCCACACAGTCAAAGGCTTTGGCATAGTCACATAAAGCAGAAGTAGATGTTTTTCTGGAACTCTCTTGCTTTCTTGATGATCCAACGGATGTTGGCAATTTGATCTCTGGGTATTGATTACTTTAAACTATCTTTGTTATTTTCTTGTACAAGGGCTATCACCTAGCTGGAGGTCATAGACCCACATATACCTTGGAAAAACATCTTAGTGTGCACAAGCAGTGTTATGAACTTGCACTGATCCAGTGTTCCAAGGTCCACACTATGTTTTTTTCCCTTAGCTTAGCAGGGCATGACAACCTCAACGGATCAACCTGATGTGCTTTTATTTGGGTTATGCTGTATTGCTATATTTTGCTTTTATTCTTTTCCCATGGTGATTTTTCATGGCTTAGCCAGAGCAACAGGTGGCTGACTATTAACCCCAGTACCCTTGTGGCTCAGGTGGTAAAGAATCCACCTGCAATGTGGGAGACTTGGGTTCAATCCCTGGTTTGGAAGATCCCCTGGAGAAGGGAAAGGCTACCCACTCCAGTATTCTGGCCTGGAGAATTCCATGGACTGTATAGTCTAGGGGGTCGCAAAGAGTCCAACACAACTGAGCAACCGTCACTTTTCAGTTTATCTGTGCATATGAGAATTCCATTGTTGTATTAATCTAGGAAAGGCCTTCCTTGGTGGCTCAGTGGTAAAAAAAAAAAATCTGCCTGCAGTGCAGGAGATACGGTTTCCATCCCTGGGTCAGGAAGATCCCCTGGAAGAGGAAATGGCAACCCACTCCAGTATTCTTGTCTGGGAAATCCCATGGACCGGACGGAGGAGCCTGGTGGGCTACAGTCCATGGTGTTGCAAAAGAGTCACAATTTAGCGACTAAACAACAGTAACCTGGGAATTTCTGAAAGAGTACCTTGGATCAGGAAAAAAAAGGTAGTAAATATGCACCCAACTTTTAAGTGAAAAGGGGGAGAAATGTTAAAAGTGGTGTTTTAAAATTTCAACTGGGGATAAGAGAGGTATAAGTGATGCATGTTTTTAATTATGAAGTCAATCTGGGTTCCCTGATATTTGTTGTGAAAAATGATATTAAACAGCAAAACAGAAACACTCACTAAAATGAGTATTCTTATTATTATTTTTCAGTGAAAAGGAATCTTCCCAGGGAGTTGTAAACCATCTTTAAACAGAAGTGTTGAAAACAGTTTGCATACAATTATACAAAATTCAGTATGAACAGGGACTTTTTTTTTAATCTTTTACTAAAACAGAAAGATTCTTAAAAATCACTTCTCTCTTTCAAACAGAATCCCATCTGTTTCAAGACTGAATAAATACATCAGCACAGCAGTTCATTTCCAGAGTTTATTTCCAAACATTGCAAAATTAGTATCAAAGCATATGGAAGATATTTAGCAAAAATTTCCCCTACCCCCAAACTCAATGACTTAAGGAGAAAACTAGAAATTGTCAAACTGTTGCAATATATATATTCTACCTCTTTCACTGACTGGAAACGTGCTATTCAGCTTTACATATTTCTCAGCAAGACAACCAAATAATTTTGCTTTAATATGAATGTGCCGAATAATTTTAAGCAAAGTAATTTTTCATTAAGGTATTTTGATAATGGTTTATTTAAAGGAGAAGGACCGGAAATATTGATTCATCTTTCATTGGAGCCTTAATGTCTCACCAGTGAAGTGAGGAAACACTGCCAGGCTCACCTCTGATGAGCAAACACTACTCGAGAGAAGGAAAGTGTGGGTGGGGAGGGGAGGTGGCCTGTGAGGATGGGCGGTCCCTGAGCAGAGTTGTGGGGCTGTGGCAGTTCTGTTTTTTATAATTTTTATTATAAATAATAAAAGTATAGTTTTTTTTACAGTGTTGATTTACAGTGAGTATAGTTGATCATAGTTGAGTTGAGTTGATATATATACAGTGAGTGTGGTTGATGTACAATGTTTGTTAATTTCAGGTACACAGCAAAGTGAATCCATTATACATACATATGTACTCACTCTTTTTCAGGTTCTTTTCCCGTAAAGGCCATTACAGAGTATTGAGCAGGGTTCCCTGGCTGTATTAGGTCCTTATTAGCTCCTACTTATACATAGTAGTCTGTATATGTCAATCCAATCTCCCAATTTACCCCTCCTCCGCTTATCCCCCAGTTGGTTTTCTTATGCCCCATAAATTACATGTTTGCAGACATGCTTTCAAACATACCCAATGCTACTTTTTCAGGAAATGTTTCACTATGGTCTTGTTTCTAGTCCCCTGATTGAAACCACAGCCTTGGAAGTCAGGAAGCTGCAGCCAGGCTCATGCCATTTCTCACAGGTGAGGAAGTGGAGACTTAAGACAGGAAGGGACTCGGTCAAGATCCACAGCCTCAGGCAAAGCGACGGCCAGAATGCGTTTCTCCTCCAGGTGCAAAGCAAATCAAACACCAAATCAAACGCCCCTCTAAAATCAGATTTTCACATTTTGTACTTACTCGGAAGACTTGTGGATTTCCAGTGTTCCAGACAGGCTCATGTTCAAGTACAAAAGTGTCATCAAGGAAAGAAGGGAAACATTTAAAGTGTCACTGCCTATTTGCTAGGCAGTTGGTCTCCTTTAGGTCCTTGGATTATGAATCCTGGCAGACCTAGAACTGTTGGCAGGCTTCAGTGCTCTAGGGAACAGGGGAGGGGGCAGAGCATAGACCCCCCTCCCCACAATGGGCAAGTGAGTATCTTTGAACAGCAAGTGAATGCCCCTGTAGTAGAGTGATGACGGAACACAGGCCTCCTTCCTTTTCCAACTTCCATTTGCATTTAAGTGTTTGTTGCTTAGTCACTAAGTCACATCCAACTCTCACAACCTGATGTACTGTAGCCTGCCAGGCTCCTCTGCCCATGGGATTTCCCAGGACAGAATTTCCCAGGAAGAATACTGGAGTGGGTTGCCATTTCCTTCTCCAGGGGATTTTCCAGGGATTGAACCCACGTCTCCTGCATTGCAGGCAGACTGGTTCCCGCTGAGCCCCCTGAGAAGCCCTTCAGAGGATTAGTGGAGCTCTTCTGAAAGCTCATCTAAGAGTGCACAGAAAGGCTGTCGCAAGGAAGTCCTCTTTAGGAAATCGTGTTTGGAATTGGCCCAAATTTGGGTGCCCAGTGCTGGAAGAGACTGACTCATGGTCCTTGAGATTCCCACCTCCATCAATTGAGTCCACCCGAAGGCGTGGAGCCCCCAAACCTGTACATTTAGGCAAGCTCCAGGAGATTCTGACGTGGCAGGAAAGGGATCGAAGTCCCTGTCACCACCCCCAGCTCACCAGCAGGAAGGCAATCAAAGTAAGAGATGCTCCCCCTGACCAGTTAGATCATCTCTGATATTCTTAGCTTCCTACCATCTTCTTAGAGAAAAATAAATTGGAAGTGATCATTTTTGACAGGTTAAAATCTCTTGAACATTGTGAACATGGGATTAATACACAGACATTCTTTAGGCTCTGACGGGATAGTAAACAATTCTTTAAATTGGGAGATTATCTTTGATGGTCTTTAAAAAGAAATCTTTGGTCTTAGTCAAGGGAATGATGGAGTCTTAGGAGTAATATTTAAATTAAGTTTAATTTAATACAAATGTCACATATCTTCCTGGAAGTGGTCGCTTCATCTTAATTAAGGAAATAGAAATGATTGTGACTTAAGTCTTCATTCTGTGATTTGGACAAGTTTAGGCAAACAGTAAAGATTCAGAAGGGCTACCACCAAACCTACAGCACTGAGAAGATGCTTAAAGCCAAGTCAGTTCTCCATGTGGCAGTTCAATATGAGCTGCGAAAATTCAATCCAACTAGTCCTTTAGCCCCACATCATCTAGATTCCTTGGGGTCCGGAACCACAGGGTTGTTATGCTTTCCCTGGACAGCCACCCAGGACTCACGAGCTCCTTCAGTTAGCCTGGGCAACTCTGTTCTCAGAACCGTGGAAGTTCAACATTGTCGTCACCAGCTCTGGGAGGTCAATATCGTGCTTCCATCCCCAGTCCTTCCGAGCATTGCTATCATCAAAGTTCATTGGCCAACTATCCGCTAGGATAAGACATGGAAAAGGAGCTTAAGTTATTCAGGCTCTAGGTTTGCAAAAAGGTCTAGAACACTTTAAATAAAGGTCAACATTCCATGAAAGAAACGTTCTCTTTGAAATCTCCCTTGAGCAGAGCAGAGCAGCTATTACGGGCACACACAGTCACCTTCTTAGACTAGAAGCCTGTATCTACTGCCAGGCACTGTGAGTGGTCACCTACTAGGAGAGTCCCCTGCAGACTTGTAAGGTGGGACTGCCATGCTTAGATGGCACTCCCGCAGGGGCACAGTCACAGCCTTTGAGAACCCAGGGCCGCTCTAATACTATGTCTGTCTGTTTGATGTTTAAACTGGCAAATGGCGAAATGCCGACAAGTTGTTTATTTGGACTGCTCTAGTCCACCCACTTTGGACATCATTTTCCAAAACTGTGCCATCTGCCAGCCCTGGTGCAACAGCAGCTCCTTCTCCAGAAGGTGTCGGGCCCCCGGGGAAGGCACTGAGCTCTCCTTCTCCTCCATGGTTTATATCCTCACGGACTCGTGGGGCGGACTGAAGCTCAGCTTTGGCTCTAGGGGGACGCAGCTGTGTACCAACCTATGGCCTGTCGGACAGGGTCCACATTGTAGGTGACCTGGAATTCTGGCACATGCTTGAGCACCTCCTGGGCCAGCTCCGCGGGGGTGAAGCTCATGGCGTTGATGTTGTAGGTTCTCATGGACAGGGACTCTGCTGGGGCCTCCATGACCTCCAGGGTGGCCCGGAGGCAGTCGTCAATGTACATCATTGGGAGCCTGGTGTCGGGTTTCAGGTTGCACTCAAATCTGCCATTCTTGACAGCTTCATGGAAAATCTGGACTGCATAGTCTAAAAGAGAAGCTTGTCTGAGGGTCATCTTACAACAAAAATTATGAGTGAGCCTCTTGGATTAAGGCAGTGGTTCTCAGATGTCTTAGTCTCAGAAACCCTTTGTGGGCTTAAAAAAATCACTGAGGGGCCCCCAAAAGGTTTTATTAAGGTGAGTTTTAGGAGCCTGGAGGGCTACAGTTCATGGGGTTGCAAAGAGTTGGACACGATGTGTGACTGAGCACATATACACAGACAGCAACATCTACTGCATCAGAAATTAACTGGGAACTTTTAAAAAATATTTGTACACTTAAAAAATGATAATAAGCCCACACATTCATATGTATGATATTACACGTGAAAAAAGAACATAGATTCCAAGTAAGAGAAAATTTAGTGAGAAGAATGGTGTGTTTTTCATTTTGAAAATCTCTTTATTCCCTGGCTTAATGGGAAACAGTAAGAATCTCTGCTTCCGTGTTCAGTCTGCTAGGCTACATACATCAGGCAGCCTGTGAGAAACTCCACAGTATTCCTGGAAAGGATGGTAAAAAGGACAAATAATATCTTAGTATTAATATGAAAACTATTTTGACCTCCTGGATCCCTTAAGAGGGTTTGATTCAAGGATCCCCAGGGATTCCCAGTGCCTTCCTGGAGAAGCACTGCATTAGGCAAATTTTTAAAAAGTAACCAAACCCAAAGGCTCTTTTAAAATCCCTTAAAAAAAAATCCCTCAAATTTTTATGGCTGAGTCCTTTGCAGCTCACCTGAAACTAACACAACAGTTTTAATCAGTTATATCCCAATACAAAATAAGAAGTTAAAAATTTTTTTAATAATAAAATCCCTCACATTTCAATTGAAGATATTCAAAGAAATGGAAAGATAGCCCATGCTTTTGATTGAAAGAATTACAACAGTATTGTTAACATGGCCATACTACCCAAAGCACTCTACAGATTTAATGTGATCCCTGTTAAACTACCTATGACATTTTTCACAGATCTAGAACAAATAATTCTAAAATTTATATGGAACCACAAGAGACCCAGACTTGCCAAAGCAATCCTGAGGAAAAAGAACAAGGCTGGAGTATAAGCCTCCCAGACTTCAGACAATACTACAAAGCTATAGTAAAAATCCCTCAGATGTTGACAAGTATCTTTTATGTTATATCTCAGAACCCCTCATATGGGAAGGATCTCTGATGCGGGAGTTAATGAACATAATGCATACTCAAGCCCAAAATGATAACAATGTGGAAAACTGTATGGAGGCTCCTCAAAAAGCTAAATATAGAACTACCATATGACCCTGCAATTCCACTCCTGGGTACATATTCAGAGAAAAAGAAAACACTAATTTGAAAAGATACACTCAGTCCAACATTCACTGCAGCTTTATTTACTGTAACTAAGACACGGAAGCAATGTAAATGTCCATCAGCAGATGAATGGATAAAGATTTGGCTAATGGACACAACGGAATACTACTCACTCATAAAAAAGAATAAAATGTTGCAATTTACAACAACATGGATGAACTTGGAAGGTAACATGCTTAGTGAAATTAGTCAGTTTGATTCTGGCACTGTGGGTGGTAAATTCCATTGGATTTACAGCATTGGTTGAGCTGCCCTGAACAAGTTTAAGTCAATAGGGTTCAATGAGCTTCTCAGATGCACTTTTCAGGAAGGATGCAAAGACTCCAGCCAGCATATGGCTGAAATGACAGCAGATCCATCCCCACTCCACCAGGCAAATAGAAAGCTAATCTTACATAAAAAATAAATAAAAAACAACCCTACCAGTTGTTCCTCCTCCAGGCTGGGAGTCAGCAGAAATGATTCCAGGATATCTCAGGCATCGGAAATCTAATCCATACCGGTAATAATAATACTATGAGAAAGAGAAAACTTAACTTTAAAAGAATCTTTTAAATCAGGTAGAGCAGTGCAAAGAATTAACAGCCTTTTCCTCAAACATCCCCCCACACAGTCATCTTAAAATCCTCCTCGAGGAAATGAAGACCCTAGAATTGCCATTTTTCTTTAACAAATAACCCTGAAGTTTGTAATCTTCAAAGAATCACCATTCTGGTGATAACATCGTTAGACAACACAGTAAATAACAGATCAGCTGACTGGGGAGTTTCTGCCTTTCTTTGGAAGGAAGACCCTGCTCATTGTCCTGAACGAATGTCCACGAGCCTGTCCTAGGAGGCAGTGTTGGGAGCAGAGGGAAAGAGGGTCGCTGTGATACATCAGCTGAAGGGCCAGACACCAGCTAAAACGCCCTTTATGGATATTTTAGTCAAGTGGTGAGGACTCTGCACTTTCAATGCTGAGAGCCCAGGTTCAACCCATGGTTGGACAACTAAAATCCCATAAGCATAAGCTACAAGGCGTGACCAAAAAAAGACGTGCTATACAGTTATAATGACAAAGTGCATTAAAAAAGAAAACCAAAAGGACACTTGAAGTTATTCTAAAGTTAGCTCTGATAACAGTAACATCAGGAGCCTGAAAGAACAGTGCAGTACAAATAAGATGGGCAGCAAATGAAGGAGGGGTGCCATTCAAGGGGCATGTTTGAAGTGCTGAATGTTAGCACAGGGCTGAAGATTCTGCTGGAGCTATGGGTACTGGCCACTTGGCAAACACAATCAGTCCCCAAGCATTTCTGGGGGCAGGGATTGGAGGAGGGAGGAAGTCCTCTCCAAGGATGAATTAGCAGGTGTTTGAGACAAAAACAGAAAAGGAAACACTGAGTCACCTTGCCGAGCGATGCTTACCTCGCCCATAAGCTCAGCATGGACCTTGGACACCCCATAGATGGTCCTGGGTCTCTGGATGCAGAGGTCAGGGGTTGGGTTCCGTGGAGAAGTAGGTCCGAACGCCCCGATGGTGCTTGGCACAAACAACCGCAGACCGTGCTCTGCGGCAACGTCCAGGACATTGTGCAGTCCTAAAACAAGCAGCTGTCGTAACCTGGGAGACCTCTTCGCAAGGAACTGGGGAATCCTGCGAACAGGCCATCTGGGGCACGACCAGAGACTCACCTGTGATGTTCACGGCTCTGGCCAGGGACACGTTTGCTTCTCCCACTGCGCTGAGCAGGGCGCTGTAATGAAACAGCCAGGTGATGCGGTTGTTCACCACAATCTCCCGAAGATTCTTGTAATCCAGGATGTCAGAATAAATAAACGGGCCTGCAAGGAGCAGTGAAACGGGCAAGTGAAGGAGTTCAGGGCTTGAAAACGTCAACGGATTTTCCCATTGATTTTGAATTCCATTGCTACCAACTTTTTAACAACTATTCGGACACAACTCAGCATTTTTCTTATGCAGAATACAAAGTCCAACCCCCAGGTGTTTCCCTGGTGGCTCAAACAGTAAGGAATCTGCCTGTAATGCAGGGGACCTGGGTTGGATCCCTCAGTCGGGAAGAGTCCCTGGAGAAGGGCATGGCTACCCACTCCAGTATTCTTGCCTGGAGAATCCCATGGACGGAGGAGCCTGGCAGGCTACAGTCCATGGGGTCACAGAGGCAGACATGACTGAGCTACTGACACACACACTCCATGGTTAACAACACCTAAGTCTTACACAGGACTTGTACCTGCTGAGTGCTATTCTAAGGGTTTTCTGTACAGCAAATGCCCTACACAGGAATGAGTTCATCCTGAGAGCACACTCGTAAGCCCCATTTGTGCATGTGTGTGTGAGTTGCTCAGTCGTATCCAACTCTTTGCGACCCCATGGACTGTAGCCCACCAGGCTTCTCTGTCCGTGGAATTCTCCAGGCAAGAATACTGGAGTGGATCGCCATTCCCTTCTCCAGAGGAACTTCCAAACCCAGGGATAAGTCCAACAAAGTTAGCCTAGGTACCCAACTAACACAATCAGCTATATAGTACTATACTGTAACAGGTTTATAGAACTTTTAATGCAAATAATACATACATAACAAACAAAAAATAAAACATTTTTAATCTGACAGTCTAGCACCTTGAAAAGTACAATAGTACAGTACAACAGCTAGCACACAGAGGCTGGCATGCACCTTCACATCTTTGAACGTTTGCAAATTGAAAGTTCATATGTAGGGGACTTACTGTATATTTAACTCTCAAACAAACTTTGAGGTAAGTATTTTGTTGGGGAGGAAACTGAGGCCAAGCCAGGTTAAGTAACTTGCCAGAATCAAACAGAATTAAGATTAAGAACTGGGATCAAAACCAGGCAGCTGGCTTGAGTCAATGCTGTTCACGCCAAACCTGCAGGCACCTGGTGATTTCATTCCACTTAAATAAGCTGCATATTTTAAAGGAATAGATAAAATGGGTTTACAAAAGCCAAAAACCCACTGTGATATAAATGACCCACAAATTGTGGGCTTAACACACCTGATTAGGTTAGAGGTAGAGCCAGATTTCTGCAGTGCCCATTTCCCCCACTTTCAGTACATTAATGAATGTTAATTACTGAATGTTCCCTAAGGTGAACTGCAAAAGACTGACCTGGAACCAGGAAGGGCTAGGAGATGTTATAAAGATATTTTTGATGAGGAAGTGATCTAGGAAGTCAGAGCCATCTTCCCAGGAGTGTCTTGATGGATCCAGCTCTCCCAGACATCTTGTATTCGACCCAATGAAATGAGTTTTAATTTCTGACCTGACCTCTAGAACTTTAATTTCTTAAGTCACTATTTAATGTAGGTTATAGCGACAATAAGAATGCAATGCACACATTTATCCAATAAAATATGTTCATGGGAATTTCAAAAATATAAAAAATACATAAAAACATCTTTGAGGTGGTAAACAACTCGCCTATAGGAGTCTGAGCTCCGTGTGTGTGCACAGGTGTTTAAGAGCAAGTCCATGCTGAAATAGGAGGATTAATTCCTCCAAAACTTAAAGTTCCTTTTCCTCATTTCAGAACTTGATTTCTATGTGCTTTCTCTCTGAGTTAAGTTCACTAAAAACTCTGAAAAGTAGGAATCCAAATTTTTATTCCACAGCTATGGCTGCAGATTATATCCAAAGATATCACTCTACAACTTTACACCAAGGTCTAATGAACTTCTGTCCCTGGATCACCTGAACAAGCAATGACTATACCAGTGATGTTTTACAGAACTAATGAAGACAAACACGAAAACATTTTTTTCTTTTTTGGCTACACTCCCACAGCATGTGGGATCTTAGTTTCCTGACCAGGGATTGAACCCATGCCCCCTGCATTGGAAACATGGCGTCTTAACCACCTAATGACCAGGGAAATCCAAAAGCAGGAAACATTTTTAAGTAGCCCAAGAGTGCCTCAAATACTCCTCCTTTAATTCACAAGCCTGGTTATGAGCGATGACATGAATCCTACGAGCTGCCTCTCCAACTGCTCTGAGAGCCTCTTACCACTAAGGAAGACGTGTTCCGGGGGCTTCCGAATGTCAGACAGAATCACATTGTCCTTCCCGAATCGTTTCCTAAAGGGAAAGTCAAACATACGAGATGGTACACTTGAGGACATACCGGGGCCTGTGAACGCCATCCTGCCTGGAGCAACTGCCATGTACTGCCCGCCTCCATCCCACCTTTACAGAGGAGCCTTTCTTCCTCTCCATCCTCAACAAGCACCCGGCAGTCCCAGCCACACTCGGGGCTGCATCTCCTGTCTGTACCTTACCCCATCATCGTCCGGGAACCTGTCACCAATGTCTTCCCCGTGCCCCGCAGTCCTTCCCTCTTCCCCCCCGTCCTTCTCTCTTTTCCTTTTATCCCTTTTGCTTTCTCTAAATCCCACCTTGTTCCTTTTTAGTTTCTACAGGTTCTTCTCTCAGGCCCCAAACACCAAAAAACTGACCGACTCATTTGGAGCAGGTCTTACTTTGCCTAACCCAGAGAAGGCAGACGGCAAAGGACCAGCAGGGGACACGAGTCAGGACCTGAGACAGAGTCTGCCACGCTGAGAGGCACAATGAACCGCATTCCCAGCGGCCATTTAGATGCAATGTCGTAAGAGTCAGGAGCAAGAGCGGAGAGCAGAGATTCAGTGGTTTAACAGGAGCAAAGATAAGCTTCACATAGCCCCAAACTCAGATTTTAATTTCAACTCTGAGAGCTCTTACCTCAGAAAGTTAGCAAGCCCCACTCCAAGCTGGCCAAGACCCCCTGGATAAAGAAGAAGAAAGTGAAACTTCAATTGAAATCAAACCAGTTCAATTATTCCCAGGATGTAATAACAGAATAAAACTCTACTGGTAATCTTAGCTAATTAGGTAAAGCCCCAGGATGGCCTGATGGAGTTGAATCACCTTCTCCAAGCTAGGTCATAGATGAGTACAGATAAGATGAGTTTCAGAGACAGAACATTCTCGAGCGGAGCAATGGCTGAGGGGAAGTCAGGGAACACTCACAGGAGAGCAGGAGCATCTCCCAGCCAGGAGCGCACTATCAGCTTTGGCTTTGTTATTTGATGGGCTATGAAGCTTGTCTCCTCCAGGTACCAGAACACTAATAGTAGCCACATGTAATAGTTTTTTTTTTAAGAAGCTTTTTATTTTGCATTGGGGTATACCCGATTAACAATGTTGTGGTAGTTTCAGGTGAAGAGCAAAGGGACGCAGCCACACATATCCACGTACCATTCTCCCCCAAACTCCCCTCCCATCCAGGCTGCCACATGACATTGAGCAGTGTTCCATGTGTCATACAGTAGGTCATTGTTGGTTATCCATTTTAAATACAGCAGTGTGTTCACGTTGATCCCGAACTGTCCCTTCCCCTCATCCTTCCCACCCTATCCTGATAATCATAAGTTTGTTATCTAAGTCTATGAGTCTGTTTCTACTTTGTAAATAAGTTTATTTGCAGATATAATAGTTGGATATCAACCTCTGGTGGGATTATCCAGAGCACCCTCCTCCATTAGATCTGCAGTGGAATAGGAATGAAGAAAGGAGGCAAAAACCAAGAAGTCACCTGAAAAAAATGGTAGATAACTGGGTGGGTTAGGAGCTGCTAAGAACATTAAACAAATGATTACAGCATCTTAATCTGGATGCTTACAAATGCCATCGGTGGACATGGGAGAGCTGGGGGTCTAGGAACACATTTAGGGGAATACAACCCTAAATTCCATTTTGGGAGAAAGTAACCAGGCAGGAAGATGCAGACTGTGGGATCTCCTGTAATCATGTGTAAACATGTGGCTGAAACCAGCGCGCGGACGGTAACACCTGGAGGGTGCTTTGTTGGTGTCGGGAGGAGGGACTCAAAGACATAGAAGATGCTGGGAAAGTCAGGGAAGGAGGCGCTAAGGGAGCAGACCTCACTCGAAACCCATTTACAGCAGAGGAGGAGGTGGCAGCGAGAGAAAGGCGCACACACTGAGGAAGGGAAGACGGATAAGGACCTGAAGTCAAGGCATGAAACGCTGGCAAGCAGAAGACAATAAAATGTGCTCATCAAATCAGCGCTGGGCTTGAGTCAGCTGGAAGGACTTGCGGGCAGACGGTCAAATTTGCAGTGAGCAGGTGCAGAGCCGGGAGTTGGGTGGACAGGAGGTGAGAGGGTTGGCGAGCCAGTCTGTGGACAATGAGATGCAGGCCCCATGAGGTCATGGCGAGAAGTCCCCTGAGCCCCGGGAAGGCCCTGGCTGTCTTCTCCACCTCCAAGACACAAATATGCAGTAACTCCGGGCCGGAGGAGCCTGGACAAGGAAAGATGTGCCAGACTCCAGAGTCCACGTTTTGTCCACACACCTTGGATCTCGAGCAGGAAAGGGGAACCAAGTCCCAGGGTAGCTTTTTTATCCCCAGGTTCCCAGGTCCTTTCTTCAGATGACAAGAGATTTGGGCAGGGAAACCAAGCCCTGTCAACAGCGACAAAATAAACACCAGGGATTTGCACAATTCAGGAGGAAGCCAAAAGTGGGAAGGGAGTTTCTGAAGAATACATGTTACCTGGTGGTATGTCAGACATTCCAAAAGTGAACATACAGCCACACAAACAAAATAATGAAGCTACAAAGGCAAGAGAAAGAAAGAAAAACCCAACCTGTAATTAAGACACGCTGCTGGTCTGCTTCCAAGAACGAAGTGGAGTGGAAGTTGGCATCCATTGGAATCTGCCGAGGGGAGGTGCCCAGAAACCGACTGGGTAGGACAGGAGCCCGGCAGCCACAGGCCGGGCTCGGCTGCATCCAGCAGGCAACCCGCCGCAACATCCGAACAACTGGCAGGTCTCTGAGACACACCTGTAACACAAAAGGAGCGGAGTTCAGAAAAGACACACACATCCATTTATAGTAACCAAGACATGGAAGCAATCTAAGTGTCCATCAACAGACGAATAGTTAAAGAAGATGTGGTTCATATATATACAAGGGAACATCACTCAGCCATAAAAAAGAACGAAGGGCTTCCCAGGTGGCGCTAGTAGTAAAGAACCCACTTCCCAATGCAGGAGACTGAAGAGATGCAGGTTCGATCCCTGTATCAGGAAGATCCCCTGGAGAAGGGCATGGCAACCCACTCCAGTATTCTTGCCTAGAGAATGGACAGAGGACAGAGGAGCCTGGTGGGCTACAGTCCATAGGGTCCCACAGAGTCGGACATGACTGAAGCAACTTAGCACTCAGAAAAGAATGAAACAATGCCATTTGCAGAAACATGGATGGACCTAGAGAGTATCATACTGTGTGAAGTCAGTCAGAAAAAGAAAGACAAATATCGTATGTTATCATATGTGGAATCTAAAATATGATGCAAAAAAAATATCTACAAAACAAAAACAGATTCACAGATATAGAGAACAGACTTGAAGTTGTCAAGGAGGAGCTGGTAGGGAAGGGAAGGAATGGAGTTTGGGATTAGCACAGGAAAACATCTTATGGAAAAACCAGAATGAATTTTTTGGCCAACGTGATACTCTGTATAGGATGGATAACAACAAGATCCTTCTGTAGAGCAGGAACTATATTCAATATTTTGTGACAAACCATAATGAAAAATAATATATATATGTATGTATAACTAAGTCACTTGCTATATAGCAGAAATTAACACGTTATAAATCAACTATACTTCAGTAAAATTTTAATAAACAAAAAAGCAAAGTTCTTACTGCTTACCTTCCAGACCCCTCAAGACACAAACCATGTAACCACAACTAACACTAAGATCGCCAGCTCCCAAGCAAAGCCATGCCCTGGATTCATGAACCAAACTAAAGAGACCGCTGAGAGCAGGGCCAGGGAGCCAATCTAGAGACGACCGTGAGCCCAGCCCCGTGAAAAGGGATAAACGTTGCTCATGCAAAGTTCAGGCAAACAAAGGCTGGCTGAGATTTACCACTGGAGCCGCAAGTGCTGACGACAACGGGATCTAAAGTCACAGTGGAGGTTACTGTGTACAGAGCCGTCCATGCCAGGAACACCAAGTCACGGATCCAAGTGAAAGCCTCCAATCTCCACAACCATTACCATCTGTCCACGTACCACTGAAGCTCAAATAGGTCCTGGACTAAATAACACAGCACCCTATAAGACTCAGATGTTAACATCTGAGTGCTAACTCAGACATTGTCTTAAGGATGATCCAGACTAGAAAAGCAGATCGTTAAGGTAAAAAGGCCTCCAGCAATACTGAGTGAGCCGTGACTAATTTCTGTTTCACTGCCATCTCTTAAGAGAGGATAATTTAGAGAGCCATTTTCTCCCCTCTTCCAAGATCATGTGTATTTTACTACAGTCCAGTTCCTCTTCCTTGCCAACTTTATGCAAGGTGAGCATGTCACAAGAGTAGATCAGAGTGCAGGGCGTGCTCTACCGGTTCAAACAGCAACCTTCCTGCCCACCCTCCGCAAGGTCAGGTCCTTGCTCTCTGCACACTGCCCTGTGGCCTCCACCTCTGTCAGAGGTCAGATCTCCAACAGCACTGGGAGATGAAACTTCAGACAATGTATGTTAGTTCGGCAACATGGACAATTCATGACTATTACTATTCTACAACTATCACTAGCTAACATGTATTGCTCAATACAAGCCACAGGCCCATGAATGCCTTTCTGCATTATAGCATTTAACCATCGTAACCACCATCCATCTCAGGGAACCCAGTTTTTAACCATCAAGCAGCACTACGGTCCCTGTTATGGGATGGCTTTGATTAACAATGCATATACATTAAAAACAAAACCAAAAAGCCCTCCACCCATCTACAGCATGTAGCTTTTCCAAGTCAAGATTATTATCTTGCCATTTCCAAGTTCAGTTGAATGCTTTTAAGGTAGCAGCTCTCACATTTTCTGGTCTTAGAACTCCTTTTGTTGTTCAAGTCGCTAAGTCGTGTCCAACTCTTCGTGACCCATGGACTGTAGCACACCAGGCTCCTCTATCCAGAGTTAATATAAATATATTTTATGAAAATATATTTTCCAAAACAAAAAACATCCTGAGCAGAGTGCCACTGTTTTACATTTACTCATCTCTTTGATGTTTTCCTTAATAGAAAAACAACTGGATTTCTGCACCTGCTTCTAACTCAAGCTGTTGCTTTGATTGAAGTAAATGAAGAAAATCCAGACTCACAAAGCAAAGCAGTGAGGAAAAGGGAGCAGTGTCTTAAAAGCTTTCTCAGATAATTCTGGATACTCACCTTTGATATCCAGAACTCAACACATAGTAGTTTTTTTTAAAGTTAGCTGCAACACAGAATCTGAAGACATTATCATGAAATTTTTGTACCTGTAACATTAGAACCCACTAGTATATCTAATGCTTTGAACAGATCTTTTATTCCTGTATGATTTTACAATTCCATGCATTGGTCTTTTGGAAAATACTCATTCAGTGAGTTATGCAGATCTTCTAACTGCTAACACACTTGACTGTACAATTCCCCAAAGTTATACTCGTTAATGTCACTGATCTCATCAGAAAATTCCTAAGTATTGGGAAGTCAAGTTCACAATGGTAGATATACAAGTTAACCTGCAACAGATACCATTGGTTGTTTCCTTGACAGGCTCACTAGGTTCTTTTTTTTTTTTTAATGAAAATGTTTGCTGATTATCCAGGTATGAATAATCATAGTTCATCAGTCATTCTTTCAGGTAAAACTAGTACTCTATGAAAAAAAAATGACCCTGCAAGTGGCCAAAATAGCTCAATTTGGAGAGCATTAGACTGAAGAAAAAAAAGTGACCAGTTCACCTCACAATTCAATCACACAAAATGCTTTATCTCAAAACAACCATCATATTTTGATACACAACAAGTACACCCACTTACCACATGATGCACAAAAAAGATACATCTCGAGGTTAAGGTTTAATAAAAATTAATCACGTTTTACTGTTTCATAAAGGGCATTCTTAAGTAAGGGGCTTCCCTGGTGGCTCAGTGGTAAAGAATCCACCTGCAGGAGACACGAGTTGGATCCCTGGGTTGGGAAGATCCCCTGGAGAAGGAAATGGCAACCCACTCCAGTATTCTTGCCTGAAAATCCCATGGACGGAAGAGCCTGGTGGGCGACAGTCCACAGGATTGCAAAAGAGTCAGACACGACTCAGGGGCTAAACAACAAGAGCCACAACAATCCTTAAGTTTTCCACTTTTTATTTTTTTACTGGAAGGCAGATGGCAGTGAAGAATACCATGACTTCTAGGACCAAGTGGTGCCACTGCCTTGATTCCTGCAAAGGGACCAGTACTTTCAGCCACTCGGCTGTGCACTGTCAGTGAAAACTCAACAGTTGTTCCAGGATAAACCATGAAATTCACAAACACAATTCTATACCAAAGACTTTGGCACTATTTGTGTTTGCTGTCAAACATTCACTAAAAAGATAGTCTTTGATGATTGGTTTGGCGTTGATAAGTGTATGAAAACAAACAGAATGGTAAGTCCAGCCATGACCACAGATTCTTCCACTTGTAAGATATACACTTCTACTGTCAGTCTTCATGTTTGCAGCTAAGTCTTTGACAAGTTACTGTATTATCAGGCAGTGGCGGTGCTGAGTTTTTCCCATGCTTTTTCGTACAAACAAGGCTTTATTGTTTCTCCAGCCACTGCAATTTGATAACCTATCTTGTCATACTTCAGTAGTTTTTTCTTTTCTAGTTTGGAAAGCTGTAACAAATAATTTTTGGCTTTTAAAGAGATCATCCTATCTACACTCCATTCATTCAGAACGGTTGGTCTCAGAATAATGTTATTGCCACCAAAATATTATTCAAAACATTCTGTGGCATCAGACACACAAGTTAAATTTCTAACACCTGTAAAACCTAAGGAAAGCGTTCATATTTTCATGTATTATTTAATTTTGTACATTTATCTGGAGAAAAATTCCTCTTTCCATGATTCAGAGAACTCTTGTGTCATTTCTTTTCAGTATTTATACACATAGATAGTATAACTTAGAGTTGAAAAAAATCAAGTCCTCTAATAGCCTTCCTTTTAAGCCAATGATGTATCCTTAAATAAAAAAAAAAATTAAAATAAACTTTTTGTTATTTTTCCATCTAGGTAAAGGCTCAACTTAGAATTTCAAAGTAATGACATATTGATATTAAAAGAAAATGGGCTCCAAAGATAACAGCAGATATAACAGCATGTAGCTAATAAAAATACATAGAAGTGTAAGAACAAATGGAGTTTATCTCTGAAAATGCACATATTTATACTTTAAGCTTGCTATCCTTAGAAGATTCTAGAAACACAACAGTACAGAAGCACACACCCCATTAGACCAGTGGAAAAGCTCATCACAAGCCTCTATGTGGCCTCTAAAAGATTCTACCACATATCTGAGAGAGAAACAATGAAAAAGGCAGAAAAATTTCTGAGTATTACTTTAAAATAGCCTTGACCTCATGGACCTTACAAAGGTCTCAGGGAACCCCAGGGTTCCCCAGATTACACTTGAGAATAACTGTTCTAGAGTAAGACTTGCTTTGCCAAGATAGTTATCAAACTTACAAATGGAAACCATCAAAGATGACTGGAGATCAGATGAAAGTCCATAGACTTTCTCCCCTAAGCACTTTGCTTACTTTAATTCCAAAGGATAAAAAAGAAACAGGCCATCAGACTTTCCCCCTTAAATAATTGAGCATCTCCCCAGCGCAAGCCTTGCTAGGGTGGTTGTTATACAAACCTTCCCATCTCCAGGCATCTACCTTTCTGCCCTAACCATAATGGAGCTCAGGAAAGCCGCGGCATGGTGAAGAGAGTGAGAGAGATGCAGACTCTGAGCCCAGCTGGCTGTGACTTGCTGGGACATGGAGCAACTGGTGAGGAATCGAGAAGAATAACACGGACCTCTAATTTGTGCATGAGCTTCCTGGAGGAGCAGAACAGGTAAGAAGACAAACGAGCTTGGTTTTGGAAATGTTGGTTTTAGGTGCCAGGAGCCAGTAAGGCTGCCTCTCCCAGGGAGTTGTGAGTCCCACTGAGCAGTTCCTAATGCATTTGAGAATTCAAATACCATGTCAAACAGGCAGGCAGGAAAGAGAAGTATCAGGGGTTTGTCTACACCACAATAAACAGAATGTCCCCTGTTTTCAGAGAACATTACTTCCATTTCTTGGGGAAAACAACTGTAATTCAATTGTGATTCCTCTGAAGACAGATAATTCTATTTCAAAAATATTAAAAGAAACTCTAATTTGGGATACTGAAAACCAAGAAAATAGACCTGTTTTTCAGAGGATGCATCATCGGTTTCCCTTAATGTTCTTGCTGTCTTGTGATCTTCCCAGCTCTCTAGCTCTCATCATTCTCAGCCACAGAGATGTCAGGGAGTGTTTGACGGGAGGATTCCTGCATGCTGTCTCTCATGAGTCCTTTGTCCCTCTTCAAGCGAACAGCACGCTGCTCCCAGGGACTGAGGCCATTGTGTGAGGCAGGCTTGGGTCTCCTTTAGTAAACATTCTCTTTTTGACAAAATTGCTTAGTCTTGCTCCCCCTTCATGAGATACGGATTGTCTCCTGACCTTGTGACTAACATTACCCCTTGTTCCCTTGGTAACGGTTACTGTATGTTTGGTTTTCTGATCTCTATCATTCCCAAAAGAAGTTTCTTGTACCACCGCCTATATATACTCATATAAAAATCATTAAAGCACCTTTGCTCCATCAGAGCTTAGGTCCCTGGGTCTTTTTTTGTCTCTCTCTCTCTCTTTCTCTTTTACTTTCTTATCATCAACTCTGTACCACCAAGTTCCAGTCCATTAAAGGACCCCAACACAGAGATAGTAAATAAAAATGTATTAGGTCATGTCTCCAGCACATTCAGTATGAAGCTACAAGTATCCAGCTCCCAACAGATGAATAGATAAAGAAAATGTGGTATATACATGTGATGGGATATTACTCAGCCTTGAAAAAGGATATCCTGTCAAATGCTACAACACGGATGAACCTGGAGGACATTATGCTGACTGAAATAAGCTGGCCACAAAAGGCCAAATACAGTATGATTCCACCCATATGAGTTACATGAGTTACCTAAAGTCGTCAAAAAGCATAGAAACAGGAAGCGGAAATTTAGTTGCCAAGGGGATGGGAGAAACGGAGAGGGGATACGAGTGCTTAATTAACAGGCACAGCTTTCATTTCACAGGATAAAAAAGTTTTAGAGATCCATTGCACAACACTGTGAATACACCTGGCAGTACTGAATTGTACTCTCAAAAATGGTAAGAGGGCAAATTTTATGTTATGTGATTAATTTACCAAATTTTTAAAACTCCAGACCCAAGAAATGGTCAGTGCATACATATATTACTGGGGAGCTAGAAACTTCACCCAGTGTAGATCAATGCTGCCCCAGAGACCCACAAAACCCCCAGCCAGTTCAAATTCCCAAGCCCTTGGTCCCACCAATCCCCTTAAATGGTTCTTTGCCCTCTGCTTATAAACCAGCTAAACCTAGCATTCTCATCCAGCTTTCACCTTTCCTTCCAGTCTCAGGGGTCTCCAGACTGTTTATACTGCTCCAAACCTACATCCCCACCCCCTCCTAGCAGGCCTTCTTGATCCACACTCAGTGAAACTGCTTTCACCAAAGGTCAGTCATTGACCAGTTGACAACTTCCTGGCCCCAGGACCCTCTCCCAGGGCTGACCATGCCCATCTTCATCTCCCCTGAGTTCTCCCATCTCTCGCTCTGCTTTAAGGATCAATAACGCTTATAACTGCTTATTTGCAAGGCAGTCTTGGCTTTATATCCTCCCGTTCATTAAATCATAAAAAATTCATAAAAATAAATGTGTCCTCTATTTTTTTTTTTTTTTTTAAGCTGCACCTTGTGACATTCTGGATCTTAGTTCTCCCATCAAGGACTGAGCCTGTGCCCTCAGCAGTGGACACAGGGATGCTTAACAACCGGACCCCCAGAGAAGTCCCCAAACGTGTACTCTTCATAGCAACGATCCAACGGGAAAATCTGGCACCTCAACTATTGAGCGCTGAGGAAGCGATCTGCTTTCCCGAACTCTTATTTAAGCCTCACAGTAACTCTGAAGCTGGGATCTTTTCTCCATTTTGCAAAATGAATTGACCCGCCCAAGGTCAGGCACATTATTAATTACCAAAAGGCAAGGGGTTGCAAACCAGGTCCGTTGAGTCTCAAACCCTCCTGCCAGCACCCCCACTCTTCCCTGCCAAGAGAAAACATCGGGTACCTAAGAGAGGGGACAAAGAGGACACCGTCCCTGCTGCCCCTCCTCCCCTGCAGCTCGGCTCCTCCTCCTCGCCGCTCCCCAGGAGAAGAGTACCCACCAGCACCCGGGGTTCAAGGCCAGACACCGCCTTCCCTCCAGCGTGAGCCGGCGTACACCAACCTCGCTAACCTCAAGTATCCCCATCCTTAGAAAGGGGACACCACATGCTGACCGGATTTAATAAAAGCAATTTATAAAAGGCACTTAGCAAATTGCTAAAGACTCCATCAACCAGCTGGTAAAGTCTAGACTTAACGTGGGGATGATCCGAAAACCAGAAAGGGTCGTGGGGGCGGGAAATCCTGGAGCTCTCGGCTCGAGCTACAGAGGGTCTCAGAGACAGACCTGGCCCCGCGGAGCGGGCGCCCGGCACCTTCCTCCCAGTGCACACTGGCCTAAGAGACCCCAAAAGACGTGGAGACAATGCCGCTCGCGGATCTCCAGCCTTAGCCTCCCACTTTCCTATAGAAAAGTTGTGGGGGGCCCACCCTCCAGGGAAGATGACGGGATAAACCGGTTTATGAGAAAAACCGCTCCTGGCAGGGGTGCCCTTTCGAAACTTAGGAAGGGCCGGGAGCCGCGCCTGTCGATTCCTGCAGTACCCCGACCCTCCGTCGGCCTCCCCGTTCCGCAGCGACGGCTGGGGACCCGCGATCGCCCCAGGGAGCTGAGTCTGGGGCGCCCGGCCTTGTCACACCTATCGGGCCAGTGGGGGGCAGGGAGGTCAGGCAATCCCGCGGCGTCAGCCTCCGTTTCAAAGAGGCTCAGTTCGCAGGATCAGCCGCGGGGGAACATCCAGCCCCACCGCACTGACCTTCCGAGGCAGCCGCCCAGAGATGCTGCGCCGCTGCGGCGCTGGAGACGCACGTGGCACGGAGACAGCGCGCAGAGCAGAAAGCCCAGCTGGCCCTCGGCGCACCGCGCCTTTATCCTCTCTGCGCGCAAACCCGCCCCCAGACGCACCAATCTCCTTCTTCGGTCCTAGGAGCCTTACGTCAGCGTAAGGTTTTACCACGGGGGAGGGCACCGGTTGCCATGGTAACCGACATCGCGGCGAAAGCCCCTCTTCGCGGGTTCCGCCTCCCACCCTTCTTTAGGAGAGGTCGCGCGCTGCCAGACAAGCTTTCGAATCCAGCGAGCGGCGTCCCCGGTAGCGGCAGAGCAAGACCGCAGGTCTTCGTGTCGGAATGTGCAGGTGAGGGTAGCTCAAGAGCCTTCCACCGCACGGAACCTCGGCCCTCCGGAGCCCCAGGGCACAAGCTCATTCTGGCGATTAGCGGAGGACTAGGGGAAGAATGCGGGACGCAGACAGGGCTAGCGGAGTATATACCTGGGGACCAGAGTCAGGAGATACGGAAGGAAGAGACCTTGAACGACTCATTTCATCTTGGTTTCCCACGTGGGAAACTGATGTGAAATTGGATGACCTCCAAGGCCAAGGGACCAGCAGACTCAGCATCACCTAGGAGCTTGTTCGGTTCAGTGTGAGCATGTGCTCTTCTTCCTGCTCGCAGGGTGGGAAAAGCCTTCCTGTGAAGTATGTCACTCTCTACCTCTCTCTTTTCGGATTGATCAAAGGGATTGTCACCTCAAATGAGACACTTAAGTCGTCATTTATAATGTAAGCTGTACATTTGGGATCATGTCTATCTTTTATCTCTAGTGGCACAATGCCTAGCTCAATATAATATTTGTTGAAAAAAGAAATAGTTTTCCTTTTAGAATTTAGATTAGATTTTTGCTGTGTGCGGGCTTCCCTGGTGGCTCAGTGGTAAAGATTCTGCCTGAAGTGCAAGAGACCCGGGTTCCATCCCTGGGTTGGGAAGATCCCCTGGAAAAGGAAATGACAGCCCACTCAGGTATTCTTGCCTGGAGAATCCCATGGACAAGAGCCTGGCAGGCTACAGTCCATGGGGTCAAACAGTCAGACACGACTGGAGCAACCTGGCACAACAACTCTGCTGTTCAGTATCTCAGCTCTGATGGTTTTTGCTTTTAATTCAGTTTATCCGCTGATACTGAGCAGCATCCACTGTGTATCATGGACTGTGCTTGTTGCTGAAGATGCAGGAGTCCTGTATCAGTTGCTGCCTGCTGCTGCTGCTAAGTCAACGTCAGTCGTGTCCAACTCTGTGTGACCCCATAGACGGCAGCCCACCAGGCTCCCATCCCTGGGATTCTCCAGGCAAGAATACTGGAGTGGGCTGCCATTTCCTTCTCCAGTGCATGAAAGTGAAAAGTGAAAGTGAAGTCGCTCAGTTGTGTCCGACTCTTCGCAACCCCATGGACTGTGCCTACCAGGCTCCTCTGTCCATGGGAATTTCCAGGCAAGAGTACTGGAGTGGGGTGACGTTGCTGCCTAAATAGTGGGAAAACATTTCAGTTCAGTTCAGCCATTCAGTCGTGTCCAACTCTTTGGGACCCCATGGACTGCAGCATGCCAGGCCTCCTTGTCCATCACCAGCTCCCGGAGTTTAGTCAAACTCATGTGCATTGAGTCCATGGTACCATCCAACCATCTCATCCTCTGTCATCCCCTTCTCCTCCCTCCTTCAATCTGTCCCAGCATCACGGCCTTTTCCAATGACTCAGTTCTTCACATCAGGTGGCCCAAGGATTGGAGTTTCAGCTTCAGCATCAGTCCTTCCAATGAATATTCAGGACTGATTTTCTTTAGGATGGACTGGTTGAATCTCCTTGCTGCCCAAGGGACTCTCAAGAGTCTTCTCCAACACCACACTTCAAAAGCATCCGTTCTTTGGCACTCAGCTTTCTTTATAGTCCAACTCTCACATCCATACACGACTACTGGAAAAACCATAGCTTTGACTAGATGGACCTTTGTTGGCAAAATAATATCTCTGCTTTTTAATATGCTGTCTAGGCTGATCATAACTTTTCTTCCAAGGAGCAAGCATCTTTTAATTTCATGGCTGCAGTCACCATCTGCAGTGATTTTGGAGCTAAAAAAAAAAAAAAAAAAGTCTATCACTGTTTCCACTGTTTCCCCATCTATTTGCCATGAAGTGATGGGACCAGATGCCATGATCTTAGTTTTCTGAATGTTGAGTTTTAAACCAACTTTTTCACTCTCCTCTTTCACTTTTAAGAGGCTCTTTAGTTCTTCTTTGCTTTTTGACATAAGGGTGGTGTCATCTGAATATCTGAGGTTATTGATATTTCTCCTGGCAGTCTTGATTCCAACTTGTGCTTTATCCAGCCCAACATTTCTCGTGATGTACTCTGCATATAAGTTAAATAAGCAGGGTGACGATATACAGCTTTGACCTACTCCTTTCCCTATTTGGAACCAGTCTGTTGTTGTATGTCCAATTCTAACTGTTGCTTCTTGACCTTGTTAGTAATGCACATTTGAGGCTGCACCTCAGATTTGCTGAGTCAGAATCTCTGCTTTGGGACTCTTGCGAGAACTGTGGTTTCACAAGCTCTCTAGATGATGAAGATATGTGCTAAAGTTGAGAAGCACTGATGTGGGGCAGTGGTTCTCACTTTGCTGCAGATTAGAATCAGGGGGAAGTGATTGAAATAAATCAGTTACGTTGTTGTGTGGAGGGGGAGGGGCTGCAGGACTTCCAGGCAGGAGTATTTTTTAAAGCTTCTTGAGTAATCCCCACATGCTGTCAAGGTGATAACCACAGGTATACCCTCGAGGTATACCTCCAAGTGTAGCCCCTGGAGAAAGCAGCCCTCAGCCAGACCTACTGAATCTCAGTCTGCATTTCTAAGGGGCTCTCTGAGTGGTTTTTATGCATGTGAGGGTTTTGGAAAAACATCTGTAAGGCCTCCTCCAACATTAAGAATCTATGATTTTGTGAAGTATGTCTTTCTGTTTTTACAGACTCTTAGAAGGCCCCTTTCTTCACCTTTTTCTCTTTGACATGATCTTCATTATGGGTCTTTAGTGCACTCGAATTTTTAAATTTTCATTAGACTTTTGGCCTCTCGAGAGACCTAGGAGATTATCAAGGCCACTGTGCCTGTCTGACAGAGGTGCAGCCCCACCTCAACAGGTGAAGAAATTCCCGAGAGACCAGGAGGACCCTAAAAACTGACTCAGCCATTGGGTCACTGCCCTTTCTAATACACCAAATCATACCATGAGGAGTTACTTTTGGTTTTCCACAAACGGCATGGTAAGGTTGGATATGATACTGAGCTTGCTTTGAGGGGCTGGAGGCAGGGATGTTTCAGAGTGAAGCTGCCCACTGAAGATGCTGCCAGTTTGGGAGGGGAAAGTGAGGAAGCGTACATTCAACCTTTGCTCCTGAGGACGGGGCAAGAAGAAAGGGTGATTCCCAAGGGGCTGAAAGGTGAGTGGTTTCTGGGGTGGATGAAAAATGTTGTCTGCCATATCAGTCAATGAAGGATCTTGCAGTCACCAAGCCAGCAGCCACGGGCAGATGGCTGGACTGTTCACCCTGAGGGGACCCAGGATGGCAGAAAGCAGGATGCTGGCCCCAGATAGCTGAGGTGCAAATCAAAGGGATGATTTGAATGAACCCAGCCTCTTGGATCTTCCTATACTTAGAAAAGCACTAAATTCTTTAACTTGACGTTTGGCTTTTTTTTTTTTTTAATAAACAGTAGTCTTTTGATGTTCTGACTACTTGGCTTTTGTTGCAAAACTTCTATATACCCTGGCTTCTCCCTGACCTCTTTGGAGCAGCCCCTCAGAGCAATCTGAGGCTGCCTTCTGGGCTTAAGTCCTCAGAAAATTCTCCAAATAAAACATGATTCTCAACTCTTAGGCTGTGCATTTCTTTTAGTCCACAGTTCTGATGACTACGAAGGGACCCAAACAGACTTCTCAACTTCACCTGAACTCGATGAGGACCTGTAGCTTGGTGCCAGCAGACACCTCTTGGGCCCATCCGCCTCTTCAGAGACTCCAGAGGAATCTGGGTGTCTCCTGATGCTTGAATCTCTTGTTATTGGCTGATGATCCTAAGTTTTATTCAGTGGTATTTAAATTGGAGTCAGTTACCTGCAAAACTTAAGTTTCAAGAAGAGGTATCTGTGTTATCCTCAGAGAAAGATGCTGGGAAGATTTTTGCTCAGTTTAGACACCGAGAGGTTCATCCTCAGTTGAAAGACTGGGACGACTTCGCTCAATTGAAAGTCACTGGGTAGGGTTGGACCGGGTAACTAAGGGGAAAACTGGCATCATTTTTCCTTGAATTGGTAGTTGGAATACTTTGAATAGAGTTTGTTGAAATAAATGTGATCTCAACAAACCAACCCTGGTATGGGAAACAATGCTTTCAAAAGAAAAAGGAACGATAGATTCAGTTCAGTTCAGTCACTCAGTCCTGTCTGACTCTTTGCGACCCCATGGACGGTAGCATCCCAGGTCTCCCTGTCCGTCGCCAGTTCCCGGAGTTTACTCAAACCCATGTCCATTGAGTCGGTGATGCCATCCAACCATCTCATTCTGTCATGCCTTTTCCTCCTGCCTTCAAGCTTTCCCAGCATCAGGGTCTTTTCAAATGAGTCAGTTCTTCACATCAGGTGGACAAAGTATTGGTTTCAGCTTCAACATCAGTCCTTCCAATGAATATTCAGGACTGATTTTCTTTAGGATGGACTGCTTGAATCTCCTTGCTGCCCAAAGGACTCTCAAGGGTCTTCCCCAACACCACAGTTCAAAAGCATCCATTCCATTCTTCGGCACTCAGCTTCCTTTATAGTCCAACTCTCACATCCATGCACGACTACTGGAAAAACCATAGCTTTGACTAGACAGACCGTTGTTGGCAAAGTAATGTCTCTGCTTGTTAATATGTTCTCTAGGCTAGTCATAGCTTTTCTTCCAAGGAGCAAGCATCTTTTAATTTCATGGCTGCAGTCACCATCTGCAGTGATTTTGGAGCTCAGAAAAATAGAGTTTGTCACTGATTCCCCATCTATTTGCCATGAAGTGATGGGACCAGATGCCATGATCTTAGTTTTCTGAATGTTGAGTTTTAAGCCAACTTTTTCACTCTCCTCTTTCACTTTCATCAAGAGGTTCTTTTAGTGCTTTCTGTCATAATGGTGGTGTCATCTGAATATCTGAGGTTATTGATATTTCTCCTGGCAGTCTTGATTCCAACTTGTGCTTCATCCAGCCCAGCATTTCTCATGATGTATTCTGCATAGAAGTTAAATAAGCAGGGTGACAATATACAGCCTTGACGTACTCCTTTCCTGATTTGAAACCAATCTGTTGTTCTATGTCCAGTTCTAACTGTTGCTTCCTGACCTGCATACAGATTTATCATGAGGCAGGTCAGATGGTCTGGTATTCCCATCTCTTTCAGAATTTTCCACAGTTTGTGGTGGTCCACACAGTCAAATGCTTTGGCATAGTCAATAAAGCAAAAGTAGATATTTTTCTGGAACTCTCTTGCTTTTTCCATGATCTAACAGATGTTGGCAATTTGATCTCTGGTTCCTCTGCCTTTTCTAAAACCAGCTTGAACATCTGGAAGTTCACGGTTCATGTACTGTTGAAGCCTGGTTGGGAGAATTTTGAGCATTACTTTACTAGTGTGTGACATGAGTGCAACTGTGCAGTAGTTTGAACTTTCTTTGGCATTGCCTTTCTTTGGAATTGCAATGATAACTGACCTTTTCCATTCCTGTGGCCACTGCTGAGTTTTCCAAATTTGCTGCCATATTGAGTGCAGCACTTTCACAGCATCATCTATTAGGATTTGAAGTAGCTCAACTGGAATTCTATCACCTCCACTAGCTTTGTTCATAGTGATGCTTCCTAAAGCCCACTTGACTTCACATTCCAGGATGTCTGGCTCTGAGTGAGTGATCATTCCATTGTGGTTATCTGGGTCAGGAAGATCTTTTTTGTATAGTTCTTCTGTGTATTCTTTCCACCTCATCTTAATATCTTCTGCTTCTTTTAGGTCCATACCATTTCTGTCCTTTATTGAGTCCATCTTTGCATGAAACGTTCCCTTGGTATCTCTAATTTTCTTGAAGAGACCTATAGACTTTCCCATTCTATTGTTTTCGTCTATTTCTTTGCATTGATCGCTGAGGAAGGCTTTCTTTTTTCTCCTGGCTATTCTTTGGAACTCTGCAGTCAGATGGGCATATCTTTCCTTTTCTCCTTTGCTTTTCACTTCTATTCTTTTCACAGCTATTTGTAAGGCCTCCTCAGACAGCCATTTTGCATTTCTTTTCCTTGGGGATGGTCTTGATCCCTGTATCCTGTACAACGTCACGCACCTCCATCCACAGTTCTTCAGGCTCTCTATCAGATCTAACCATAGATTGCCAGCCTCCAACTAATACCCCAGCCAGGTTTATGTATGTCCAAAATTTAAAGTACTTACTTGAGAATTGAAGAAAATCTCGCCCCCAAAATGACTAAGATGGGGTTCTTTTACTGCATGTGTAGTTAACATTTTGCATGTGTTTGAGAACTTGGTCTCTGCCATCCAAAAGATATAGTGGTGTGTACTTTTGGCTGTCAACAGAATAGACTGGGATTCTGAGCAGTCCTTATCCGACTGTCTCAACTCTCAGGGACTTCTTGCCATTTTTAACCTTCCTTGCATCAGGAAGTGCGTTACTTTCATAGGCTGTTTTTGGGAATAAACTTACTGCATCTTGTTTAGGCGACATCGTTTATACTCTGTTGTGGGGAAGCCTCTTGGATCTTGTTGAGTCACAATTAAGATATATCTCAGTATCGGCCAGATGATGGATCCTTTACATTGGAAAAACTCTGGTAAATTCTTAGAGGGTGCTCAATATAAACAACTGTTTTATTGGTGTCTCACTTAAAAAAAAATTAACAGGTGAAAAAAATACATGGTTATTTTTTTAACTCCTTTAATTTAAAACAAACAAGAAAACCACCTTGAGAATTCTTATTTGTGGCTTCCTCTTTCCCTCAGTGGGTCTTACCAATGCTAATATAAGATGATAATTAACATTAATTAGATTAACAGCATAAGTGAAAAAACTGAAGGGAAATGTAGAGACTTTATCCAACCAGGTGGACATTTTAAAGGGACTTGTTCCAAATGGATAAAGAAATCTTTAGTTATTTTAAAGTGAGAGAAGTAAAATTGACATTAATAGGATTAAATCAAAGACTTGATACAACACTAACTAAGGTTGCATGGGCAAAAGTAACCCCATATTAGTCCTCAACATTAAAGGGCCCCAAACAAGTCTTCTCTATTTACCCCAGCTTAAAAATATATATGGCTGTAAGAAAATTAGACTGATATACCTGACCAATGATCACTTGGGACCACAGTTAGATCGATTAATCAAGTTATAAGATTGACAAAAGGGCCTGAGTCTCTTGACTTAACCCTTCACTGTGGACCCCAGAAACTTTTATACAAAATAGACAAAATTGTCAGGGGATTAAAAAGTGAGGAAAGCTCTAGGACTCTGTAAAACTAAGGCTCGTTGACTGAGTCCTAAAGGAAACTAAAATATGTAGAGTTAAGATTAAAGTTTGCAAAAATTGGTATGTTTAAATGGTGTGTTTATATAAGATGGTTACTATCTTCTGCTTAATTACATTGGGGAATAAACATGTTTCACTGGGGAATACTACACCAAATAGATTTGCCCCTCAAGAAATATTAAAGATACTAAAAGAAACTAATATGGTTACTTAAGCCCTTTAACAAAACGATAGCAAAACAAACAAACAAACAAAGACACTGGAAACCAATATTACTAACCAAGGGCTAGTAATAGTAGAAATTTGTTCTGAGTTTAACTTGTGCACTCAGAAAAAGGACTTTTGTTGACTTGCCTTATGAAAGCTCCAGTTCAGTTCAGTCGCTCGGTCGTGTCTGACTCTTTGTGACCCCCATGAACTGCAGCACACCAGGCCTCCGTGTCCATCAAACTCCCGGAGCTTGCTCAAACTCATGTCCATTGAGTCAGTGATGCCATCCAACCATCTCATCCTCTGTTGGCCTCTTCTCCTCCCGCCTTCAGTCTTTTCCAGCATCAAGGTCTTTTCAAATGAGTCAGTTCTTCGCATCAAGTGGCCAAAGTATTGGAGTTTCAGCTTCAGCATCAGTCCTTCCATTGAACACCCAGGGCTGATCTCCTTTAGGATGGACTGGTTGGATCTCCTTGCAGTCCAAGGAACTCTCAAGAATCTTCCTCAACACCACAGTTCAAAAGCATCCATTCTTTGGTGCTCAGCTTTCTTTATAGTCCAACTCTCACATCCACACATAGAGTATCCAGTCATAAGGTAGTCATCTATTATTGGGACTCCCTTTTGGGATTATCTGAGCTTTCTTCCCCCACTCATTTTAGAAAATAGGAAACTGATGAAGTAAATTGTTCAAGGTCATAACTAAGCTTAGAACTCAGTTCCTTTCCCTCCTAATCCAGTACTCTTTCTCTTGTACTATTTGTCATATATCAAAATTTCGTACTGATATGAGTGTTGGTTTGACACTTTCATTTATTAAAATGAGTAAGATGAAAGGGCAGTAGTGAAACCATGTCAGAACTTCATTCATTCATCAGTGTTGTGACTTCTTTGCTGAATGAGGTAAAGGTTTCTGAATACTGGAAAAATGATTCCTTAATTTTTTTGTCTGCTATTTATGGTGTAATGACTCAGACATGCACATTTTTAAGTCTGATTCTCTTATTAACACAATCTCTGTCGACATCTTAACCAGAAATTGGCACACTTTTCTGTGTAGGGAAAGAGAGTAATATGTTCAGCTTTATGGGTCTCATATAGTCTGTCTTGCGTTTTCTTCATTTGTTTCTATAACCCTTTCAAAATGTAACAACTCTTGATTTACAGCATTTGCCCATCTCCATGGTGTAAGTATTTAAACCATGACTGATTTGAGCCTACCAGCATGATGTCACACTGCATTTGGATTTGGGGAGAGATGTAC